GGACAAAAGTGGATCAATCAATCCCTCTGACACGGGTATCAGATTTTCTTACTCCCACATGGTCCGTAAACTTTCCCATCCTGGTTAAACACTGCTATATCACATATTTAGGCATCATTATTCCTCATTGAGCAACTGATCTATACTCAGGTAACTACACCCCGGTAATCAACAAAAATGTGCAAGAATTACACTCCAGGTGAAATGTACCTTTATCTATCTTAGGCAGATGCCACCTAATACGCATGGTTAGTTTTGCACGGCTGTTATATCCAATGCAAACCATTCCCTTACTCCTTAAAACACATATGTCCAAACCTTATACAGAGCTTTTTCTCAATCCATTTGGAAGGAAAAGAAACCCAGGATTGCTTTGCGTAAACTGCAACTGCCTGTTAGCAACTTTGGTGCTAACCTGCTGTCACGATACCGTGCGCGGGTGTCCCAACACCGCATGAAGGTATCAAAACAATTCCTATGAACTATAGTTTATTATCTACACCAAAAAACACCACAACCATAAGCAACCCCACCAACACCCGCAAGTATCATGTAAGAGCCTAACTAATTACAAATAACAGATTACACACCAGAGATAAGAGGGTAAAACCTGGGGAGCAGGGCAACAAGAGGAGGGCCGGGAGCCACAGATCAGAAGACCTCAGGGGTAAGAGTCAGGTCAAAGTTTAAGGCAGGAACAGGATATGGCAACAATAGCAGAGGCTAAATACCTTTCCAGATCAGCACCAGGCGGTAACTAACTGCTGATTGCTGGTAGACACCTGCAGGTGAGCACCGGAACTGCAGGTTCCAACACCACAGTGCCACCCAGAGGTGCTCTGGTCCCTGACACCTGCCTGATATTAGATTTTACAATTTAGCTAGTATTTCTCAACATGTGAGGGATTGGCTCCATGATACCTCCTTCTTCACCAACACCTCTTTGGAACGACATTTGGTTTCCCATACACCTCCATGGTGTAATCTCCCCTCTGTTGCCCCTTACATCTTCCCCCGCTTTCCCTGCTGGTAAGGAATCAACCTCTTTCAAATGATGGAACTCTAAAGACATATGGACTCTCCAAGATCTCTTTACACCCCATGGTAACTTAAAAGACTTTACAGATCTACAAAGAGAGTATTCCATCCCTTCTACTCATTTTTTACATTATGCCCAAATACGCCACTTGATGCATAGTCACCTTGCTTTGCCCTGGAAGGAGGCTGCACATTCACAGCTCTCCCATCTTTTGTCTTCTTCATCCAGATAAATGCCTCTTTTCTCCATTTACCGCTTTATAAAAACCTCTATATCTCCCTCTGCAGATGCGATCCCATCACATATCCGTAAGTGGGCAGATCTACTGTCTTCCCCATAAGATGCTTTCTCCCTTATTACGAGAGGGTGGCATCACCTCCAAAAGATGATGATTTGGGAATCATGGAGGGAACTAATATTTAAAAAATTATTCACAAAGCATACTATGCTTTTGACCTTTACCCTCGAAATCCCCCAACAAATTGGTTAACTTCTTGTCCGAAATGTCACCTTTCTTCTCCTGACCTCTCTCATCTTATCTTGTCCTGCCCCGTTATCCAATCCTTTTGGTCCAATCGTCCATCATATATGAACATCTGTTCTAGCAGATCCCACACCTTATCACCAGACCTCTGCCTGTTTCATGTCCCATTGCTGGAATTGCCTTCATCCCCTCCTCTTTCCCGCAGGGAACATCTTTGTGTCTTATCTGCCAAAAAGACTATCCTGACTAACCGCTGATCTTCCCACTATTTTCACTTTGAAAACGATCATTCACTGCCTTATTTTCCTGGACAAATTGGATGCCAAATCTAGCCCACGTGAGATCAAACTATTTTTTGACACATGGACCTCAATAGTAGTCTCTGAATTATCTATGGATCATCTCAAATCCCTCATAGCTATGTTTCAACACTCTGAATGATATCTCAAGGCGAAACTCTGTGGTACTTTGGGAGATTTAGATGTCCTCTGAATTTCTGCGACTTCTATATCCTATACTCCTCATTTTCCAATATCCTTGCCTACATACTACATGCTCCATTTTCAATGATATGTTACATGTTGCATCGCTTACATTCCATTTTCGCTCTTCTTTTTTCTGTCATCCAATGAAGGCCCACTTTCTCTGTTCTCCTCTTGTTTTTTTCTCTCCTTATTCTTCTGTCACATCACCGCTCCTCTAGTGTTGCTATTCTCTTGCTCTATCCTTTTGAGCCTGGTGTGTAGTTCCATATTCTTAGTTTAATGTCTATAGCATTTTTCGTCTGCGATTTATATATGATGTTTATATAACTATTTATTTCCTACATTTGTTAAACAAGTTGTATAATTTGCTCGGGTATTGTTTTCAACACTACTTTTGTTCAATAAAAATAAATAAAATAATTTATGTGGGTATTTCATTTATAAGAAAGCTAAAAACGAAAGTTACCAAATGTGGTGAAACCAGTTAACAGATCACACCTAAACTGAGAACTGACGCTGTGCACATGAACGGTGTAATTTTTAGTCATGGAACAGGCTAACCAAGAGGACAGACTGTTTACCGTTACCTATTTGGAACTTTAGCACAAACTAAATGTTACAGTTCTAGCACAAACTAAATGTTACAGTTCTAACACAACACAAGAGAGTGGTTGACACTTACATGGGAAAAAGTTCTGCAACTAACTTGCGTGTGTTTGTGCTTCTACACAACGTGCCTCTTAGTGACTGCCTACAACAGAAGAACAGTATAGGTATAACAGGTTAAAACTTGTCAAAAGTAAAGACAATAATAATACAGATTTCAATACAGCAGGAAGTATAGCCCCATGACTTTAAATGTAATGTAAAACTACCCAAATCTTCAAAATAACAACAAAGGCGCCTTTAAAATGTTTAGTAATGACAATCTATAAAACACATACTTCTAGAAAATTGCTGGCTTTTTATTTTATATACCTAATTTCTCTTTTCTTTCCCATTCTTCTCACGGTGGCCTCTCATGAATACATCTCCCTTTACTTCCATGAACTCTGGCACATGTGACTAGGGCTTATCACCACGCACATCATCTTATGGGAGGAAAATGCCTTTCCCTGAGATCTCATGAGATAACAGATGAGATTTCCCAGCAATGCTCTGCTGATGTAACCTTTCCAGGATGCAATGCTTGGGCACGATTACATCATTTGTGTCAAAGTGCACAGTGGAAAAAAAAGAAATTGGAAGTAAAATAAAATATGTTTGTTTAGCTAATAAATGTAAGATGATTTCATATCAGCATGCAGACCTGTATGCTGATGTGATTTTTAGTCAAAGGGGGTAAAGATCTGCTTTAAGCCTGGGACCTGTGTGGGCTCAATTAACTGGATCAGCTGATGACTATTGGCTCAGTGACTAGTCACTTTAGGCATGCGTGTGGGTTTGGTGATCTGAGTTTGCCCAAGCCCATGCAAAATTGTCAGTAACATGGCCCCCCTCTTCCCAATTAGTTGAGCCAGGCATTCTTTGCCCCTTTGCTATGTATAGTTGAGGGGTAGGGAGTGCCTCAGAACACAACTGATTGGGCCAATTGGGTCAGGGGTGGGTGGTGTCACTGACATTATTGCATGGGCTTGGACGAACACCAAGCCCATGTCCCCAGTCACTATTAATAGATATGTCCTCTACAATCACTAAATGTTTCCAATCATATGCTGGGAAACAGACAGCATGAAGTCTTTGTAAATGGTACAAATGCTGCCGAAAACATTCATGTTTTGTGTACCACCATATTCCTGGTTGACACTGGAAGGTGAGGCGTCTATTGAAATTAGCAAGAAAATTTGATACTCCAGGTGAAGACAAAATAATGATTCAATACATAAAATACAGATCTATTGGAAAATAAAGATTTTAATAGATAAATGTTCAGTTTATATGCAAGAATACAAATCCCATGCCAATGCATGTAAAATAACACATGCATATTTGTGAATTGAGTCATCATCCTACTTGGCTCACAGATGAGCGTTCTACGTGCTAACCATCTCGTGAAGAATTTCCTAAGGCTTACAAGGTGAACAAGAAAATCCAGTAACCCGTTGTGGCAGATCAGAAGGTACTCCATTACAAAAGAAATACGTGCCTCAGAAGCATCTGACACACAGATTGCATAACTGTCACAAAGCACTAAAGCTAAACCAATCATCTGTCACAATAGCATTCATTTTCATGCAACAAGTATGTGGTCTATGAATTAGGAGGCTTCAAATCCTAGGCTCCAAAAGTACATCATTTTCTTGGTAAAATTTCCTTAAAACCTGCAAGCCTGTGTGTATGCGTGCCTGTCAACTTACAAGGTATAGGGGCCTTCAACTGCAACTCCTGACATCAACAAATGGTTGTACATAACGTTCAACATATGTAATACTACAGAAGACTTTGGATATACCACTGGAAATGGTCGGAGACTGTGGACATGCTACAGCTGTGGTTGGAGACTAGAGACACAGGCAACGTTTGGGAACACCTTACAAGAGACTGCTAGAGATCACTGCTATATCAGTCACTTTACAAATCAATGCTCCCACTACTGACTAATGGGGCCAAAGAGCAAGTGCCAAAATGCTGCAAGGTGGACAACTGGGAATTAGTCAGCCAGTGGCATAGCTATAAACTGTCTCTATGTCCCAAGGTACCCCTAACCCTAGACAATCTGCCTGAATCAGTAAAAAACAAATTGCCGCAATATTTGTGGTCTTTCCTGACATTGGAGAGATGTCCCTTCACATCACGCAGTTATCAGATCACACCTACACCGAGAAATGACATTACAGGAGCGAACGTTGTATTGCTTAATCATGCAACAGCTCAATAAGAGACTAGGCAGTGGTAAAGTAACCGTGAACCTAAGAACAATGTAGATGTAACAGTTACAACACAATACAAGATAGTGGTTGACACTTACATGAGAAAAAGTCCTACAACTGACCTGTATCTGTTTGGACTTCTACACAGTGTGCCCCTTAGTGACTGCCTACAACAGATCAAATTTGTATTTGTGGTCTTTGCCTTCATTCGAGAGATTTCCCTTCACTTCCTGTTGGCTCATCTCCTCATTGGGGTCACAGAATGTAACATAGTACCCTTTTCAGTAGGATGAGGGCAGGTTAGAACCTCTATGGCTTCCTGAGACAACCGCAATCTGATGACACAAATTTAATGCAAGGGTCAGTTTACTTCTCAAAAACACACATCTACAACTGAACATGTTACAAAGATACAATGGAACACTTGTTTTATCACAAAAAAGGAATATATTACTAAGTATATGAACCGCAATGTTTGATAATATTACGTTTTTGATAGGGATACACTTCATTTTTAAGACGCAGCATAATAAAAAAAGTTGACAGTTGAAGAAAAAAAAGAGTTTCTTTTTAAAAGAAACAAAAAGTAACTTACTTTTGCTTAAGTTGTTACTTACTTTTTGTACAACAATTGGCCCCCCTCCCCTCATATCAGAAAGATACATTGGTATACCCATCTCAGGAGCAGGGGCTCTGCTGGAGAACTAGATTTTGCTCAGAAGTAAAGCACATGCAAGGCCCCCCCAGTCCACATAAATGAATGGAAAGACGATCTACCTATGTACATTCTCACTAGCATGGTTTACTTTCTAGACAGCACTCTGGGAGTTGAAGTCCATGTCATCCACACACTACAACTCCCACCATCCCAGTCACACAGCTAGAACAAGCTGCAACTAATTGCTTACTCAGGGGATCACGTTGAGCTATTCCCAGGCTCTTACAGAATTATACATATTTTCCAACCAGTCAGCGCTTGGTGGAGGTCTCAATACATCAAAAGCGGAAGGGATACTCAGAGATGGACATCAATAGAATGTCACAGAGGGGGCCGCCGTTCCATATCAGCTTGGGAAGCCTCGGGGGGACATGCAAGACAAAAAGAAAAAGAACTGCGCCTTTTGCTGCTGTAATCAATGCTAAAGCCTGATGAAGGGACCCTGTGTGGTCCCGAAAGCGCTTGTTGGTCATATGTCAGAAAACTTCAATAAATGAAGCTTTTGCTATCCTAAAAAGACTGGTGTGCTGGTGACATTTCTACAATTTTGCTGACATTCGCGGCACCATCCGCAGTCACTGCGAGCACCCCCCACTACAAAGGGACATATAGGTAAGGAGTGCGACAAGGATAGTACTTATTTACTTTTTGCTGCTGTAGGTCTGCTGGCACCTGTGGTTACACAAGCATGTGCTCTGCTCTTGCTGCACTGAATTCACAGCTATGACCGCTAAGTCAGTGCAGGAAGAGCAGAGCACATGCTTTGTGGAACCACAGGTGCCAGCAGACCTACAGCAGCAAAAGGTACCGTTCTTTTTGTCTGACAGAATTATACCAGTCCTGTGTGATGTCGCTGTTGATCATTATTGTAATGTATCACATCAACTGTTACTATGTGCTGCATTATAAAGGCGATATACAAATCACGGTCATTGTTGATCATTATTGTAATGTATCACATCAACTGTTACTATGTGCTGCATTATAACGGCAATATACAAATCACTGTGACAAAGTCTACCCACTTATATATTGTCACATGACATGTTTCCAAACTCATCAAACAAATGAGCAGGAGGAATTAGCCAAGGAATGCACAGATTATTGCAGCCGATCTTCCTGCTCCTGACACACAGGTCGCAGTCTCAGATTTCAGTCTATATTTAAATAAGCCTAATCATCCAGGTCTCTGGTTGCTCAGTGACAGCCATGGGGTCTGAAAGCAAGATACTTAACCCAGTGCTCGTGTAGGCAAAGAATTTTAAATGTACCAAAACATATTATTAATATCGAACCATACACAGTGATATGAAAATTAATGAACAACTGCTATTATTAAAGCCGACATTCTATATACATATTTTGTGTTATACAGCACCAGGGACATAACTTACTTCCAATGAAGTGTGTCCTATGTCCTGCTGGTTCCCGTAGAAATCCTCCCTTTAGTAATGCTGGACCCTTTAGTAATGCAGTGAACTTCCGGCGCTGTATGAGATAACCGCTTCTGCTGTAATAGTGAAAGAATCGGCAATGGGGCCACTGTGCCTCATCTCGCCCATTCACAGAATTCTCTGCATTCTTTTCACAGAATGCAAATCATTTTGTGAGTGGAGGAGAGCGATCTTGTCATTATTATGCCTCCATGAAAAGATTTTGAGTTCTTTGAATTGGGGGGGGGGGGGAGCCGGGGTGGTTTC